AAATTTCTATCTTTATTTTCTTATTAGAATTAGTTCATTATACTAGTAAACCAGTACTGGACCTAGATTTTTCTTGAACCACAAGCTTATTATTTAGTTCTCTTTTATCTTTAGTAATAGGAACCGTGGTAGGATTAACACAATCTAGGATAAAAAGACTTTTTGCGTTTAGTACAATATCACACGTAGGATTTATATTATTAGGTTTAAGTATTCACACTGTAGAGTCAACACAAGCCTTTATGTTCTATTTAATTCAATATTCTGTCTCGAACTTAAATGCTTTTATCTTAATATTAACAATAGGTTACTCTCTATATTGTTATGTAGATAATGCTAAATATACAAAGACTATTGGAAAACAAGAAGATACTAATAAAAACAATGATAATTTAAGTGATGTTAATAATTCTCCTATTCAGCTTATTGATCAATTGAAAGGGTATTATTATATAAATCCTATAATAGCCTTAAGTTTAGGTATAACTTTATTCTCTTTTGCAGGAATACCACCTTTAATAGGGTTCTTTGGTAAACAGATGATTTTAAGTGCAGCTATTGATAACGGGTATATTTTTATGGCCTTAGTTGCTATATTAACAAGTGTTATAAGTGCTGTATACTATTTAGCTATAATAAAACAAATCTTTTTTGATAGACCAGATTATATTATAAACGAGGAACTAAAGGATTTTAATGCAGATGGTTTAATAACTGAAAAAAATTCTATTGTTAAAAAAGTTAATATTAAAATAAACAACATTGTTATATCAACCTCGTTAAGTTTATCTATTTCAGTTATTACATTAGTAATAACATTATTTATTTTTATACCTGAAGAATTATTAAGTTTAGCTAATATATTAGCATTAATACTTTTTAATTTATAAATGACAAGTACAACTTTTTTTATTATCTTTATACCTATATTAGCTATTATATTATTAGCTGTTAATTTAATCTTAGCACCACATAATCCTAAAATTTGATCTGGGAAATCTATATATTGGGATAAACTATCCAATTTCGGGAACACCCTAAAGCTCTTGGTACTAAGCCATATATGAAAATATATGAGTGGCTGAACTAATTACTCAGGTATAGTAACAAGCCAAGAGATTCTTGAAAAAGTAATGGGCTATCGCGAATCTAAGTCAGTAATACGTGAAAATATTACTGTAAAAGATCAACGAGTAGACGGTAGTTACATTGAATATTTTAATAAGAAATATTATTCAATGTTAAGGTATACTCTAGTGGACTTCGAAAGAAGTTATCAGATCAAAATCCCTTCTAACTTTATAAATTTTAAAAGAAATTTTTGTACCTTAGAATCTAAATTAAATCCTTTTTACGTCACAGGTTTT